GAAAGAAGCGTTTACACGACTGAAAATTTTGTTAAGCGAAAGACCGGTGTTAAACCTGTATCGAGTAGGCGCGTACACGGAACTGCATACCGATGCGTCGATGCATGGTTACGGAGCGATCCTTCTGCAACGAGACAACGAAGATCAGCTGTTGCATCCAGTATACTACGCGAGCGGCAAGACGACACCTGCGGAAGAAAAGTATACAAGCTACGAGTTGGAAGTACTTGCGGTCATCAAGGCGCTTAAACGATTTCGAGTGTACTTGCTTGGCATCCCATTCAAGGTCGTAACGGATTGTCGTGCGTTTGCCCTTACGATGAGCAAAAAAGACCTTTGCGTACGCGTAGCTCGATGGGCATTATTATTAGAAGAGTTCCAGTATACGATCGAACATCGACCGGGTAGAAGCATGGTGCATGTTGACGCCCTGAGTCGAAATCCCCTTCCATCATGTTTGACGATCGACGAATGCGAGACAGGATTGACGGCGCGGTTGAAGAGAGCGCAAAGAGAAGACGATGACTTGAAGAGGAAGTTAGACGAGGTACAGCAAGGAAGACAATTAGACGGCTACATCGTGCGAGGTGGACTCTTATATAAGGAGGTCGACAGCGAAATACGACTCGTTGTTCCCAGAGCCCTGCAGCAACAGATAATTCGAAGGGCACACGAGCGAGGCCACTTTGCAGTTGACAAGACGGAGACTTTAGTGAAGAATGACTATTGGATATCAGGATTACGGCCGAAAGTCGAAAAGGTCGTACGAAATTGTGTTTCGTGTATTCTGGCAGAACGACGACAAGGGAAGCAAGAGTGCCTTCTCAACCCAATCGAAAAAGGAAGTGTGCCACTGGATACCTTCCATATCGATCACCTAGGGCCACTGCCGTCGACGAACAAGAATTACGTCCACATCTTCGCCGTGGTGGACGCATTTTCTAAATTCATTTGGCTTTATTCAACGAAGTCAACGACTGCTGCGGAAGTAATCGATCGCTTACGGAAGCAATCGATTGTTTTCGGCAATCCTCGAAGAATAATTTCGGACAGAGGTTCCGCATTTACCTCAAAGGAATTTGAAGAATATTGTCGAGAAGAAAACATTGAACATTCACTGATTACAACCGGAATTCCGAGAGGCAACGGTCAGGTAGAGCGACTAAACCGGACGTTGATACCGCTACTAACAAAGCTATCTGCACCGAAACCCAGCGAATGGTATAAGTATGTCGACGCCGTACAACAATGTTTAAATACGACGCCCCACAGGAGTATCAAAATGACGCCTTTTCGTTTGTTATTCGGAACTCATCCGCGTATCCGAGACAATCCAGATGTTCGAGAGCTGTTACAATGTGAACTAGTAGCCTCATTCGAAGACGATCGAGAGGGATTACGACATGAAGCAAAGGCAAATATTGAGCGAATACAACGCGAAAATAAGAAGAACTTTGATTCCAGACGAAAAGAAGCATTTCGCTATCGCGATGGTGACATCGTCGCGATTCGGCGTACCCAAGGCGGCCCTGGACTCAAATTTGCACATAAATATTTTGGCCCGTATGAAGTCATCAAGATTTTACGAAATGACCGCTACCTCGTTCATAAGATTGGCGAACACGCAGGACCCCTCCAAACCTCGACGTCCGCAGATTCGATAAAGCCATGGATACATGACGACACCGATAGCGTATGTGGCAGCGACGAAGAAACCGAGATTGATGAACTTTCGGGGCAAAAGTTAGAGCAGAATGGCCGAGTGTAGGAAGCGAATATTCTAGACGGCATCGCGACGCGATATTGTAACGAAGCGGAAAAAGCGAGCGAGCGAAAAGACGAACTTCTTTTGTCACCGAGCGTTCGGACCGAGATGCGAGCGCGACTCACGGGAGTTCAGTTGAGTTCGGTTGACGACAGGCGAACGAACGGACGCGACGTGTTCTTGTATCACTTTATTATTAATATACATATCTTCTACCATTCGATATCTCCATAACACTAACCGCCTTTCCCATATCCTGATTTAATATCATCTTACAATAATAAAACGCGAATTAATAAAATATTACAATTACTACGTCTTAATCATTTAAATGACGAGGAAAAAGCCAGTGTCACTAGGCTAGTGACAAAGCACGCGGAAAGATTCCAGTTACCAGAAGAGCTTTTAGGCGCAACTAGAGTCCTAGATTATCAGAGAAGCGCGACCGGTGTTACGAGTCCTGATTGGACACGCAAATGGCCAATCATAAGATTGATTTATCGCTATTATAAATGGCTACCGAATAAATCAAACTTATGATTGGCCATTCGACGCCATTTTTAATATTTTCTAG